TTCCTGAACCTCAGAATAACTAAAGTGATTGCTTTAGAAAAAAGATCCATCTTACTAGTCACATCCAAACTGAGTTCTGAATCTATATCTTATTGCACCATTAGCGAAAATGGACTTGCTGTGCTGCAAGTGAATTTCCTCTAATCAATAGTGAAGTAAGAGTATGGTTCTACTTACCAGAAATCTTTGCCACAGTCCATACAAGAAAGACACTGACAGTTCCGGCACATATTTACATGTTTTTCCACCTGGCCCTTCTTCACCGATTCTCCACAAGCATTACAGGTGAAAACTACCATCTTGAAAAATAACAGAATCCAATTCTTCAAATGCTATTAGATTGTATTACCTTCAAGAAAATTTGAGAAATGAATATAATTGACCATTTTTGAATCACTATTTGTTATGCTTTAGCCTCAAATGGAGGCATTATCCAGCTCAAGCACCAGTATCATAGCATCAATGAGAAAGGAGAACATACGGATACTCTTATGTAGTTGTAATATCATATGAGCATCCCATATCCAGAAATTCAAAATACTCCAAAATCCACATGCAACTGAAATAGTGATATTGTTGCTTTCTGATGTTCAATCTGCACAAGCTTTGTTTCATGAACAAAATCATTAAATTACCTTCATATTTATATAAGGCATAAATGAAACACACATTAATTTCATGTTTAGACCTAGGACCATTGCCACAATATTTCATGACATATATGCAAGTATTTGCAAACACTTCTGATTTCAAGAATTTTGAATAAGAGATGCTCAACCACACTGCTATAGCCCTACATGTTGTGAACTGTACCTTTGGACACCAAGCCTGATGGGTTTTTATCTTATCAATAAAGCAAAGGCTGCACCTATACCATAGAATTAACACAGGATAACACCACAGTAACTGCCATGGCTGAATGCTATGAAATCCTGGGGGGCTGAGTTTAGTGCTTTTGCCTGTATAAAACTACGACTGCCAGGATTTACAGCATTTAGCCATGGCTTTGAAAGTGATGTCAAACGTCACAACTTCTATAAGTGCAGATGCATCCAATTAGAAAGAGCCAGGCATAAACAAGGCAGAAACCTCTTAGGTACACAGAAAAATATTAAATTACATGCTTGCTGTCTACAAGGAGGCAAAGAATGCTGAAAGAAGAGTTTTTAGTTAAAAGCACTATTACACTATATACAGGGTGAGGTACCATAATTTCCTTTTTAAAAATGCGCACCATTCAGTTGGTTGAAGACGTAGCGGAGTGCTAGTGGTCTCATTCGAGAGGCAGGAGTATACAGTTTTGTCCTGACACAGTTCAGTCGCCATCATGCGTTGGAACAGTGAGGAGCGTGCTTTTGCCTATTTTTCGAGCGGATTTGGAGTGGCTGGCCCACTCTCCAGATTTGGCTCCTTGTGATTTTTTTCTATGGGGTTTTTTGAAATCCCGTGTTTATGTGAACCATACAAGGACCCTACAAGATTTGAGGACCAACATCCAGGAAGAAATTGCCAACATAACGCCTGCTATGCTGGCAAGAGTCATGACAAACGCCAGAAATCGGTTTACGCAGTGTATGGAGAATGGGGGACGTCACCTACCTAATTTGATCTTCAAAACTATGTAAAACAAAACTTTAGGTATGCACCTACATTATAACAAAAAAAAATCTGATTCATACAATGGGTTTTATTAAGTTTTGAAAAAAGGAAGTTATGCTGCCTCACCCTGTATAAAACGATTTTTTGTTCCTGGGTTATAAACACTATTTTCTAATTGGTTCTGTCATAAAAACATGGAAAACATTTATTACTATAGTTTTTTCCTACAATAGTTTTTCAATGAATGTCTCATCACGTCTCAACCAATTCAACATAGTTTGCGACAACCACAAAAATGAAGTTTCTGGAGTATAGTAACTACTATAGTATAGTAACTACTATAGTATAGTATACTAAGTAAGTACCATACAATTAAATGGAAAATAGCACTTTCAAATGAGGAACATGCTTTTTTTCAAATTTTGTTACATAGTGTTATGCTGGGGAAAGCATGTAATGTTGACAGCCTAGAACAGGAGTCCCCAAACTAAGGTCATTAACCTAGTCCCCATCCTAAACTTTAGAGTTAAGGTCGCCCTAAGGGAAAATGCACAACAAGAACAACGCTAATTCACTTCTCTATTTCATCAGCCAAAAGCAGGCAATTTCCCATTGAAATACTGATGCTAAATCTGGTCTTCATTTTAAATACTGTATTGCTCTTTTATGTTTATTTGCACTAAAAGATATGTGCATTGTGTGTAGGAATCCATTAGTGCTTTTTCCAAACTACAGTCCACACACACACACTGAACAGCTCAGGGATAGTGAACTAGCCGTCGGTTTAAATGGTCTGAGGAGCCCTGGCCTAGAAGGCTCTTTCCAGGATGTGGGTAACATTAGGACACAGGAGTGGTTAATATAGACCCCATCTACGCTGCCATATACAATCCAGATTATATGCTTTGAACTGGATTATATGGTAGCATAGTAATGGTTCGACAATGGCTGGTTATATTTAATCTTCCACAATCCTGATGACAAGAGCTGTTTGACAGTAGATTATGCTGCTTCAGAGTGTGGTGGTCTCCTTCTCTGGGGGTTTTTAAGCAGAGGCCGGATGGCCATCTGTCAGGGGTGCTTTGATTGTGTGTTCCATCTGAACATGAGGAAGAACTTCCTGTGAGAGTTGTTCAGCAGTGGAACTCTCTGCCCCGGAGTGTGGTGGAGGCTCCTTCTTTGGAATCCTTTAAACAGAGGCTGGATGGCCATCTGTTTGAATGCAATATTCCTGCTTCTTGGCAGGGGGTTGGACTGGATGGCCCATGAGGTCTCTTCCAACTCTATGATTCTATGGAAGAAGGTTGGCTCTTGTGGTCTCTTCCAACAATTCTAATTATTTAAAGTAGAAGAGTGTAAAAAAGATATCTAGATGCAATTGCCCAATGCCAATCAGAAAGATGAATAATACCCAGACCTCACAACCTCTGAGGATGCCTGCCATAGATGCAGGCGAAACGTCAGGAGAGAATGCATCTTGAACATGGCCCTATAGGCCAAAAAACCTACAACAATCCAACACACATTCCTCCTCTTTTGTGGCTTGGATGGAGGGAAACAGTTCTCTGCAAGACTAGAAAAGCAGTTTCACACCAAAAGTGCCATGGCCTGAGGATGGAGGAAAGGCAATGGCCTACTATCCGCTTCCCTGTAACTCCTGCCTTACTGTTGCTTCTTCCTCATGGCCTGGACCCAAGCAGTTGGTTAACTTACAGCTATGGCCCCTTATGACGGGTTAGAAAAACGTCCCTGCGCCTTTGAGAAGAGGCCGCCTTTCCTGTCCGTGGATATCTCACTGCCAGCCACGCGCAGTCTCCTAGGCTCCCCCCCCTTCCCTAAAGGAGGCACTTCCGCTTGGAAGAGGGGGCGGGATTTCCGGCGGAATTGAGCCTCCTGCTGTTAAAGGCTCAGGCGCCAGTAGACCGGCACGTGGAGTCATTCTGCATTCTCGTGGGAAACTCTTCCAATGATTCCCAAACACTATTACTCTAAGGGGATTTTAATCAAAGCCTTCCTGACAAAGAGCCATCCAGCCATAGATATAGATAGATAGATAGATAGATAGATAGATAGATAGATAGATAGATAGATAGATAGATAGATACGATGCACGAATGAGCTACAAGGTATAGATCAACAGATACGCTGAAGTACATCAGTATTAAAGATGATAGATTAGTATCAGGATAGATAAGATATGACCTTTCAACACGAAACGACCACATATCCTGTTAGTGATTTGACGAGATTAGATGATCATTAGATTTATGAGAAGGACACCCCGTAAAGTGAAGACATGATTAATGTTGCATAATGCCAGGGGTGTGGGCAAACAAACTACCACATCACGACTGACAAAGACACAGCAAGACAAATACTATTTTCGCCACATGCACTCAAGACATTATTATGTATTGAGAAACCAAGCCACTTTCTCTGTACTGTTAATTTTGCTAGTATCCCCACACTGCGGCCAACAGGCAACATTTGGCCAGGGGATGGCTAGGCATAATAATAAAATTAATGTTATTTAGTGGATTAGCATAAACTTCACTAAACGCACGTTGTACACAATTTACCTTCAAATTTGGCGCAAAAGCCCATGTTACCCAGGAGTGGACCAGCACTTACAGAATTTCTTGGTCATTTGGGAGTTGTAGTTGCTGGAGTGATCTTATAGTTATACCGTGACAATCAAAGAGACATTCTAATGATACTTCAACAATGATTACGACTTGACCCACGGGTGCTCCCATTGACCAGCGCAAACCCCTAGCAAGGGTTTGTTGCTGATTTTGTAGTTCTACCTCATTCCGAGAGCACTCGTGACGACGTCGTACAACATGATCGGGATCTGTGACCAACACCATTTCTGGCATAGGGATGGTCTGTACGCGAAGGAACATAGTGATGCTTGGTTTGTAACTTTGGTTTGCCATTTTCTCCAGCATCTTATCTCTAAGCTTTCCTTTCTCATGTTGTGGCCAAAGTACTTCATCTTTGTCTCTAATATCCTTCCCTCCAATGAGCAGTCGGGCTTTATTTCCTGGAGGATGGACTGGTTGGATCTTCTCGCAGTCCAAGGCACTCTCAGCACTTTCCTCCAACACCACAGTTCAAAAGCGTCTATCTTCCTTCGCTCAGTACAGTATTGCAAATTTAAAGGTCCAGAAATCGTGCGCCAATGCCCCCTGTCGGAATCACGAGGGAAGGAGAAACACTGGTATCTCTAGCCACTTTCCTGCAGAATTCTGGGGTTTGTAGTTTAGGGAGGGGCCTTGAAACGGCTCAGCCAGTGAGACCCTGGGCCTCTCTGAACTACAAAACCCAGAATTGTGCAGGAGGCAGTCACAGTCTGGAAAGTGGATAGATGCTCTAGCGATGTCTTCCTCTTAGAGTTCAGTGTTGGGATGTGAATGATCACAGCTCTATGTTTCCCAGCGCGAGGCGGCCGGAAGTTGCGCTAAGGAGGCGGGCCTAAGCGAGGGAGGGACAGTCTAGAGACCCATAGGACTCAACTGGGAGTGAGATGCACGCTCAGGTTTCTCCCTTGAACGGACTTAAAGGGACAGCGTCTCTCTTCTGTTTTGCCTCTCCCTTAGAGATGCAGGCACCCACTGCGAGGATGTGGCTGCCTCTCCAAGGCAAACTTTAAAAGGTATCATGTGAAAAGGGAGGGAGAAAGGCATGTTGGGTCGCTGAGCAGAGGAGGAGGAGGAGGAACAGAGGCCTTGCTTTATTTGGAACCACTTCCCAGGTATGTCCCTTTCCCTGCCTGGCGTTCCCCACAATGTGTACTGTTGTTTCCTTTGGGCTGTTCTACATTCCTACCAACTCAGGATTGCCAGCTTTCATTTGACTCCTCACAAGGATAAATACTAAGGACTTCCTACTTCACTTTCAATCCTGTCTCTGCCTCCTGCAGAATTCTGGGGTTTGTAGTTTAGTGAGGCTGTTAAAGTCTCCCCCCTAAACTACAAACCCCAGAATTCTGCAAGAGGTAGCAACCGGATTTAAAGTGGATTCATTCTGTAGTGTGATGAGGCCCATCATCCAGAGGGAGCGGGGGAAAGTGTCTTTGCGTGTAGAATCGTCTTCTTTGCATGGGATTCAGTTTTTAAACAACAGAGAATTGACCATGGACTTCATCTCACGCGATAAGTAAAGCGTTTGGGATCACTGTTTTCCCCTTTAAGCTTCGCAACACCCCGTTCGGAAATTAAATGAATGATTTTTCTATCCCATCACACAGTTTCCCCTCTTTCCGCTTTCCTTTTAAATGATCCGTTTGCGGAAGAGATATTTTGGTGATAGTATGATAGCTGGGTCTGGAAGCTTCAAGCGTTATAGAGTTGCCATTAGATGCTAACTCAATACATTAAAAACCAGTTACAATTAACAACGATTAAAACCGTGATGAACAATTCAATTTAAAAACAGTTCTTGTATCAAACTGGATGCCTCTTTTGAACATCAAAGTGAGAATAGCAGCCTTGGCCATGAAGTTCATTTGGTCACCTTAGGGCAGTCTCCATTTCTTCTTCAAATTAGATTTAAGGGTTGTTGTGAAATTTATGAGAGGAATGGGAAGAACCATATGCTTGCTCTTAAACTCCCCATGTTGTAGAAGGGCTGCTATAGATCTTTGCACATCCATTTTACCTCGTGTACAGCGTGTCCCCCTACCTAGCATATTACTGCAGTCCTTTCTCAAACACATTTTGAAGTTGATGAGTTGGCAGTCTTTGGGTTGGGTTTAATGGCTTGCTTATCTTGATCCATTTTATATTGAGCTTTTAGTGGGGGCCCTAATCCATTTTTGTCTGAACTTCCTGAAATTGGGAGGTCAGATATTCATTTTCTGTTTTTATTTTGTTTAAATCTTCATCACAACTTTCCAAACAGTTCATGTTTGACATATAATTTAGACATGCACCATTTCAAAGCACAGTAATTCATTTTTACTAGCAAGCCAAAGGTTAAACTAACCCCTTATAAGAGATTCAGACATATACATAAATTGTAATACTGAAATGTACGGGGACACAACGTATCTCATGAAAACCTTGCATTTATGTTTTAGAAATATATGATTTGTAAGCTAATAACAGATACATTCCCAAAGTTTTTGTCATTTCTGAGTAACAATATGCAAATATATGCAAGAATTATTATTTTAAAAAATGTTTGTGGCCACTAAAAACACTTATTACACAATTTCTGTATTCCGATCTGCAGTATCAAAATCTAAGCTATGAAATAATAAATAATAAATGTAAGCTATTTTATTTGAATGCTGTAATGACATTTACTAGTTAGGATTTTATTTTGTTTATTTCTTCAAATTTTATTTAATATTACAAATCCGTGACTTACTTTTCACGGTTTTCAAACAAAAATTGGGTTAAATTGTATTAAATAAGTTCAAACACAGATATGGAAAGGGATTAAAAGCCATTCAAGGAGGCTAAGGATTAGAAGTTCACAGCACTCAGGGCCCTTCCATAACCCAGAATATTAGAGCAGAAAATCCCACAATAACTGCTTTGAACTGGGTTATCTGAGTCCACACTGCCATATATTCCAGTTCAAAGCAGAAAATGTGGGATCTTATTAAGCTATGTGGAAGGGGCCCCAATTTTAAGAGCAATTCCTTAAAGCCTTGAATATAGTCCTCTCTTTGCCTAGTAGCTAAAGATGTCACTTGACTATAGTAGCCTAGGTGAATAGTTGCTGTTAATTGCTGTCTTGAGATCAATCATTCTGAATGATACTAGGCAATTCAGAGAAGGGATGCCAAAAGATAGTCAAGGAGAGCCAGTAGGGGCTATCCTTGATCATCTCATATTATAACTGATGTCAGTCTAAATCCACACATCTTCATTCTTTTTTGTTCCTGAATTCATGGTATTATTATTATTTCATGCAATATTAAAAATAGAAGATCTAGCTCATCTGTTTAAGTCTGAACACATGCCATCAGTCAGACCAAGAAGGTTTTATCAAAGACATTCCATAATTGAGAGTTTTATATAATGGCTAAAGACATAAAAAGAATAAAGTGATTACATAAATCAAACATATAGAGATGAATATGGGAATCATTTGAGCAATGACTTATCTTCATGACCGCAAACCGCTTAGGCTGTGTGCCAATTTTCAGGCCTATCTAAAACCTGGGCTTTCTTTCAACTGGTACCAAGGATAGCAGCACTTCGATACACCATCTGTACTTATATGCAAGGCAACTATCTCGGCTTTCACCTTTTGCCATTCACTCAGAGAAGGGGTTTCTTTTTATAAGAGTTAAGCTACAGCACTTTCATTGACCCATGGATAGATTGACTCAGGTTTTATTAAAATTTCTAGGCTTGTACATGAGTATATAAGGTATTCACTTCAGTTTATTTCACTTGAAACTAGTTCAGTATCAGTGCTGAAGATGTCATCTTTTGGCGTCCCTTCTCTGAATTGCCTAATATCATTCATCATTATTGCTATCAAGACAGCTATTTTCTTTTATCAGTACCAAACAGGGAGAGTTCCAATGGCTTGTGTATCATCTTCCCTTAATAATCCATAGGATGTATTTTCAAGAAGTGTGTTGAAATGTCACACTTGGTGACTACAATGTGCTATTGAGTAGACAACATTTCAAATTTTTAAAGTAAGACATTGTTGTATAGCTCACCGAGTTTTGTATAATACATTGATTATAATACATGGTTTTCATGCACTGTGTGCATGAAGTCCTGCTTCCCTGAGTCTTTGTTTTGTTTTGTTTTTCAGATAATTCAGACATAATTTGGCATGGACACTTTTGCCAGCCACAGCTGCCATCTCCTTCAGCAACTCCATGATCAACGAATTCAAGGACTCCTCTGTGATTGCATGCTGGTGGTCAAAAATGTTTGTTTCAAAGCACATAAAAATGTCTTAGCTGCTTTTAGCCAGTATTTCAGGTATGTTGTTAAAGTTTCTTTAATCCAAGCAATGGCTATTACACATAGCCTCATCCTTATTGGAAATCTCATTGAAGTTAATGGAATTTATGACAGGGATGAATTGATTATATGAAGCGCTTGATTTTGGACAGAAGTATTCTACTTACAATACAGAAGTGCTAAGGCACATAATCTAGGGAAAAATTTAAAAGGAATATATGCTGATATTGACATTGGAACAGTGGACTAGTAAGATTTAGTAAACTGTGTATGATTTCATATAAACCTTGATAGGCTTTTGGCATCTTTGCATATTAATGAGGTAATCTTGCTGAATTGTATGTCACTGCAAACATAAAGTATTTCTTGGTGGCTGGCAATATTGGGAAGACCTATAACTAGGCTTTCAGTAAACTTCTTAAAGTAGGATTCAATCATAGAACTATGAAAGGATGCTTAAAGGCACAGTAAAACTTGCTATAAAGCCATAAAATTCAGTAACTGACTCTCAAATACAACTAGTAGGAAAGGAACAGGCTGCTGAAGAACTCATGGGCAGTAGCTTTCCAATGAATGCGGTGTTGGTGAGAGAAAATGAAAATACAAGGCGGAGTCATGGGCCAGCTGCAGGCTTTAGCATCCTGGAGACAGACAGGACATTAGGTTTGGGTAAAGGGATACAGTCAATATGTGGTTTAAACATTACCTTTCCTGAAATATATAAAGGAGAAAAAACCACCTCACTTTTATGTTTCAGAAAGCATGGAAAAGAAGAATTATGTACTTCCCTCACTTCTAAAACTTCTGAATTTTTTTCTCTCTGTCCCATGTTTGTTTTAAGATATACTGTTTGTTTTGCAAGAGTCTTGAGCATCAGAAATCCTGTTAGGAAATGTTATATTTCTCCTTGATCTACATAGACATTGTGCTACTAATGCTGAATACGTTCTAGTACTCCTATCTGTTACCATGCAAGAACAAAAACTGATATTCAGTAGAGAATGTCCAACTGAAGTCAGCAGGGTTTATTTCCAGGCACATGATACAGGACTCTCTCTGAAAGCCTCAATTTACTTGAAACCAAAACCAGATTTAAAATTCTTAATATTAATTAGCTCTGGAACTAAGTTGTGTTTTACAAAGCTAGACTGGAGAAGGATATTGTATTGAACATGGTATCAATTGATAAGAGGGCAAGGGTCAGGGTTATCTAACATGTTTAATCCATACCTGATAAAATCATGCAAAATTAGAAATTATTTTCCATTTGAAGAAACTATATAAATAGTTCCTGGGCACCAGCCTTTCTTGGCTTTGCTTTTTGAGCAAAAGCTTTGCTTTTTGAGCAAGAGATGCATAAGAAGAAGCTAAACCGCATTGGATAATTGTGACTCTTCTTTAAACTACTTATACATTTCTGATTTCAAAGTCTTTAACATTTATAGAAGGGACACATTTGATTCTACTTTTTTTCAGAATAATCCACCTTTTCTAAAATTCAAGAAGTATCTGGTCTAGTTCCCGCCTCTCCTTTTCCTGTATCTGTTTTGGTTTTGTAATAAAGCAGACCATTCGGAATAATGTATAGAAATCTTTGCGAAAGCAAGTATAGACTTTAATTTGCAAATTACGGTACTTGCATTAGTTTCTCTGACATCTCAGCCAAGTTTTCCACCATGATAGGTAGATAGTATTTGAGATCTAAATCTGCGTACAAGCAATTTTCTAAAAAAGTATTGTCTTAGCGTAATTATTCCAATGCAGATTGTTGAAAGTAAAACTCATTTAATTCTGGCCTGAATGGTTGCTAGTGAAACTGCTCAAATAATGGATTTCAGTAAGTTCACTTTTCTCTTTATTAGAATGCTATCTATAAAACGTTATGTAAGAATGTAAGTTTTGTGTTCTGTTTATGCTTCTCCAAAAAGTCTCACTTTTCCTTCCTAGGACCCTGTTTCAAAATTCTTCAGGCCAGAAGAATGATGTCTTCCACTTGGATATTATAAATGTTGGTGGCATAGGCCAGATCTTGGATTATATGTACACCTCTCATCTTGACCTCAACCAGGACAATGTACAAACGTTGCTGGATATTGCCCAGTGCTTGCAAGTGCAGAATGTTTTGAACATGTGTCGCTCATTTATGCAATCCTCCACAGCTGCAGAACAGCCAGCTGCTATACCTTGTAACAATGCCTTTTCGTTGCAAAATACTGTGGCTCCAAATATGAATTGCGTGAGCGATAGCACTAATTTACTGCATGCATGTTCATCAGGTGAGCAACCTTGTAAAGTCTTGGATGATCATAGTCTACATAATTCACAAGCCATCTCATCTGATAATATCAATAACAAGAAGCAGGATTCCAGAGATGCTGATTGCGCAGGTCTTTCATTGAAACAGTCTACTTGCCATTACAAACTTCGCAACTTTTATAGCAAACAGTTCCACAAGCAAAATATTTCTCCTGACAGAAAGATATTACCAGAACTACCCTCTAATTGCAGTGCCTCTTCAGATCAAAACTCGACTAAGAATGATTCATATACCATCAATCAATCTGAATGTGTTTTGGAACCATCTGATCACTTACCACCAGTCTTTCTGGCTCAGCCTTTAAATGAGCATCCCAAGGATCAAGATTTAGATGGCACCACACAGATGAGGCTCAAGAAAGCAGTTCACCTTGAAAAACTAAATTTCCTACGGTCTCAGAAGTCTGCAGAAGAATGTGCTGCACATAAAACTGCAAGTGAAGACCCAGCAAGGGAAACGCAGCCAGAAAGGCAAAGTAGCATGGAAACAACAAACATTGAAGCTACTGAACAAACTGAAGTCAGCTCAGATTGTATGGAACAAAGTGCTGAGGTTGTATCATCGGAGGAGGCTTCTGAGCCAGGTAGCCAGTTACAGATCTTCCTTTCAGAGAGACAGTATCCATGTTCACTTTGTGGAAAAGCTTTTAAACATCCAAGCAATCTGGAACTCCACATAAGGTCTCACACAGGTACAGTAATTTAACGCTTCCAAAGTAACTTTTAATATTAAAATGAAGAGATAGAATATATTCTGAACAGCTGAGAAGACACATATAGTATATATGATGCAAGAATTACAGTGTTCCTCACATGTAGTACTGGGCCCAGGAGAAGTATCCTTCAAACCAGGGAATAGCCTGAAACCTCTGTGGTTTGTGGTTGTAGACAGAATTATTATTACGCTGACAACGTGTTGGATGGTTTTTCTGGCAATTGTTAAATATTCACTTTTAGTGTGTTGCACTAGAGCCCTGAAACACCTTTTCACCACAAACCACACTCTGTCCAGGCAATCCAGTAAGTAAAAGTTTATTAAGAAAAGAGTAGATAAAAAAAAAAGCTAATCTAAAAAAGAATCAAAGTTCAATAATTTATTTCCAAGATAGTTAAGATTCAAAAATCCTTTCAAATACAGTCCCAAGAGTCAATCCACAGATAAACATGATAGCATGATTCCAAGGCAGGCAAACTGGGAACAAACTTAGAAACTTGAATACATGAATCCAAGAACATAAGACCAGGAACCGAGAGGTGTTCACCTTAGCTCTCACAAAAGATTGTATTTGCAGAAAACCTCTTAAAAGGCCCCAGTCCCTCCCATGACATCATTCCTTACACACCTGCTTTTCCTCTCCTTATCTCTTTAGCTGCTGGGAAAAACGAGTCTGTCTCTGTTGTATGCTCTGCCTCAGAATTTCCAAGCACCTTTACCTGGACAAACATTTGTCTCCCACATTTCTCTCAGCCTGCATTTGTCATGAAAACTGATAACATCTTTCTCCAGTCTCATGGGAACTTCCAGGAGATTCCAAAACAATTTTCTCCAGACACTTCTATCCTCCTCTGGGCCCTCCAAATCTATCCCAGCATCCCCTTCCTCATATTCTGAGCACTACAAGCTGCAACATAGGGAAAGAAGCTCAAAATACATGTCATAATGTCTTGACATTTTTGATCAGCTGCAACTTGAAGTGCAAAACAGTATTGTTTCTTCTTTCAGGTGAGAAGCCATTTGAATGTAACATTTGTGGGAAGTGTTTTTCACAGGTACGAATTCAAGAAGATTTTTTAAACTGTTTAAATTTGAATCTGTTTACAAACCATCCACCTGTGAACTTGTTATTTGTACTGCATACATGTTGGGAGTGCTGTAGGAATTGTCAAATAGGATTAAAATTTCTAAGAAATACTTTAATCTTTATATTTGGTGGGAGAAACTATAGAAAATCTACCTTCCCTGCCCTCCCATGTTGCCCTGTTCTTGAGTATAATATTGGAATTTTTCAGTAAATGAATCATCTATCAGTGTCACCAGAACTATACTATTTGAGTTATTTATAAATATTGTCTTTAATATCTGTTTCATTTTGTTATTTTGGGGGGGGGGGTTGTTTGCAGATGCCCTTAGTTGTTGTTTGTTTGTAGACTGGTTAAGTCAAAGATACATTTTACTCTACTTCAGTAAAATGTATCTTTAACTTAACTTGGCAGTCAATGAATAGCTACATCTTTCAGTGTATATTTATTAGAAAGTCTGCAAGAAAAGCAAAATAGTAACAAAGACCTCAAGCCTTTGGGAGCTCGGTGTTAAGTTTAGACTGAGTCTGCTTTGGGTAGATTACTAAACACAGAATACAATTGCAAAGTTGGCTATGTCTAGTCTTAAGGGGCAGAATTTCTGCCATAAAAATGGGAAACTGTTTTGCAAGTGCCATATTGTTACTATTTGGAACTAGAACAAGATTCCCATTTCCAGGCATGAACCTAAATTGAGACCCTATCCTTATCTTTATAGGCAGGAAATCTCCAGACTCACTTGCGTCGACATTCAGGTGAAAAACCATATATTTGTGAAATCTGTGGCAAAAGGTTTGTATGACTGTGAAACTTCTGCATAAGTGTTAGGTGAATGGCAACAATCAGATGTCCTGTATGTTGGAAATAGCGACCTTCTTCAAGCCTCCTATACTAGTGATTTGTTGTGTATATAATTCAGATTTCTTACTGTATATGTGTGTATTGGTGTGCAGTTTTCCTTAACTCTTTGTTGTGGGAGGGGCTCCAGACCGTGTGACCAGATCTGGGACTTGTTCAGGACTCAGACTCCATTTTAGAATCAGTATGCTGCAGAAGCTATTAAACTTTTCAGACTGGACAGAGACTGTATTAGACTCTCAGACCAGAGAGATACTTCAGACTTTAGACTATGGAGTGTTGATTGTAGGAATGATGCCCTGTGCTACCTCTGCTGTTTTTTATGTATTGGCATACCTTGTCACTAACAGTTGAAAGAGATGTTTAGGATATCATATAGAAATACTGGTTCATAAACTGATGCCGTCAGTCCACAAGCCCACTAGTATCTTGGCAACTTTTTGTTAATATCCATAAAGAAGTTTTAAAGAAATTAAAGTCCGATTTCAAAAAGGCTTGTAAACAAAGTTTTAAATTATTTTACAGATTTGCTGCATCTGGTGATGTCCAGCGTCACATTATTATTCACACTGGAGAAAAACCACATCTGTGTGATATTTGTGGTCGAGGTATGTTGAAGAGAAATCCTCTTAAGGATTTAGGATTTAGGAATAGACAAAAGGCATTCCAAATTCACAGTCCTACTGCTTGGCAGTATTGCTGCTTGTCTCTAGTTTTGCTGAGCCCAAGCAAACTCTAGGTCAGGGCTTCTTAAACTTTTTTCACTTGTGACACTTTCCACCCAAGAATTTTTTTCATGATCCCAAAGTATATAAAATATGTATAAAAATCAAACAATTACTGAAAATAAATATTTGCTAGGCTGGCTAGTTTTCCTTTTTATGAACTACAGCTGAAACATTTCTTTTGAAGAGACCACAGTAAACACTACAAGTTGTTGCTAACAGATTCCTGTGAATGTCTAGGTCAGTGGTTCTCAGCCAGTGGGTCCCCAGATGTTTTGGCCTTCAACTCCCAGAAATCATAACAGCTGGTAAACTGGCCAGGATTTCTGGGAGTTGTAGGCCAAAACACCTGGGGACCCTCAGGTTCAGAACCAGTGGTCTAGGTGTTCAGAAATCTTTTACTGTTGCCAAATGTTTTGGTACCCCAACATTGTGCTAAGGATCAGGAGCCGTAGTTTAAGAAGTCCTGCTCTAGGCAAACGTGGAAGATGGTAAGGGCCAGTTGCTTGGCAACAGTGGGCAGTATATATGTGACTGGAAATAAGTGATTGATGAACCCAAGATGAATCATTGCAGATCTGAGATATCTGATTCTTTGCCTGAGAACTTTGGCAAAAGTTCTCAAGCAGGAGGGTAACTATGCCCTCCATGGTTTGTACATGTAAGTAATTATCTTGATCCTGTTTCTCTTACATCATTTCAGGTTTTAGTAACTTCAGTAATTTAAAGGAACATAAGAAGAACCATACAGTAGAAAAAGTTTTCACTTGTGATGAGTGTGGAAAATCATTTAACTTGCCTCGAAAGTTAGTAAAGCACAGAATTAGACACACTGGAGACAGACCATATAGTTGCTCAGCTTGTGGTAAGTTTAAAAAAACCCTAATTTTTATTGTAGATTTTTTTTTCAAAACCATGTGATAATAACTGGATTCTACAGTTTACTAACATCTCTTCTTCCTATGATGAAATTTACATTGTTAAAAAACATCCATTTAAAACAATAACCTTTTCCTTTGGTGTTCGTGTTTTCAAAACATCCAATTGAAACAATGAAAATGATTTCCTACTTGGTAGGATATGTTCTATCCTGACAAGGCATTTCTGTTATTGTCTGTTGCCTATTTATGGGATTATTATTATTTGATAGATAACAAGATTAGTACACAGCAAACAAGATCACTATGCTGGCTTTTGCATTTGATCAATTGTGACTAAGAAATGCAGGAAGGTTGGGTTGGAATCCAGCCTGGAAGCCCTGCATTTGGAGGTGGCAACAGCTGAAACAGCTGCAAGACAAGATGGGAAGGAGAACCAGCTCAACAAAATTGAGGCACTAAATACTACTCAGTTCATTGGTGACTGTGAGCTGAGTTGCAGCACCAAGTGAAAGCCCAATTTGTGCTCGACTGCAAACAAATTCACAGTGATACAGATATTCCTATGCTCATCGAAGCACCAGAATTAGATTGCACTCAGAACATTTATACATGGGACAATGTACTACTTGGGGCTCAGACTCAAAACTGTCTAAGAGAATTGAATTCAGAACACAGATGCCACCAGTGGAGGTATCATCATCATCATCATCATCATCAATAATAATAATAATAATAATAATAATAATAATAATAACTCCCCAACGGGGACTCGGAGTGGCTTACATGGGGCCAAATTGCAGTAAAATAAACAACATAACATTAAAATGTAAAACATCAAAACATATAAAACAATATACACAGAGCATAGGAACCAAACATAATGACAGAGAGCGGGCTGCATGTACATAAAATGATTTAAAAGCTCCGGGTGAGATAAGGGGGCAGAACTAATTGTAAGGGAGAACTCAGAGAGAGATAGGAAAATAAACAAACCATCCCACATTGGGGGGGACGGGGACTCCAGGGACAAGAACATTGAGGGAGCACTAGCATGCACCATCCTTATGCATCTGATCGGCTGAACTTCACTATCTAATGATATACTAATCAAGTTACAAATGTCTGTGCCTTACCACATTGTGATCAGTCTCCAGAATATTCAGGCATGAACCTCCACTATACTGCTCTTGTTAAATAGCTGGTCTGCTGTTAGTTTGTCAATACAGAGCTGAAAACTAGAGCATTTATGTCTACCTTCTAAAATGCAACCAAAGACTTAGGCATCATGCAGATGAGGTACTGAATCTTCCAGCTAAATGATTAGGCAATGAATTCTCAGTTCAAGCAAAGGGGCTCAGGGCAGCTTCACGTATAAAGCTTCACGAGTTACAGTTTCAACAAATCTTAATATAACTTTAGGATGTCTTTTACTTCACCAACTATTTCTTTAGTTGTTACACTTTGAAATATGTTTCCTTATTTGACAGATTAACTAAGTCAGCTAATGCCCTTGTCTCCCTTCAGCTTCCTGCTGAAGTAAAGATTCCCAGTAGGATTTGTTCTCCTATTAGCACACAGCTAAACCACAAACCTAAATAAGTCCCCTTGACTTATTTAAATCACTCAGGCTAAAAGCTTTCCCTTAGTTTGGTTCACTGTACGTTTGAACCACCTTCCCTTTGGCTCGATGACCAAAGGACTGAAGTCTCAAAATGTCTGCTTCTTGGTAAGTGCAGTTGGCTCCACCCCTTTCTCCATAGCAACCTAACTCAGAGTTCTGAGCTTGGTCCCATCCCCCAGTTCTGCCATTTCTAAATGGTTAACCCTTTATGTACATCCATTACTGTCCTTTACCTCCTGAACACACACCCATAATAATATTCAACCATCTAAGCACATACATATACATACAATCACATTTAACTGTAGAGACACACATACACAACTACGCCTAACCTACAGTTAAAAATCAATGCTTCATCACAATGTGCTTCACAATTTAAACCCTTTCTAGTAAAGAAAACTTCTTGCTCAATGAAAAGATTTTCCTATATACTGTAGGTCAAAAGATGCTCTGGAAAAAAGTGTTTCAAACAACCAAAAATGGAACTTGTTCAAAGATTAATCTAACAGCTGGGTGGCTCCACTTTCATCCTAAAACCTTAGAGTCTCTGCTGTCTCCCAGCAGAACAACATCCTGCCACGAGGCCCGTTTCAGCAATATCTGATGCAACCCATAGAGTAAAGAGAGGTCTTCTTGGTATTCTGTATTTATAGGTACTTCAAACTGAATTTCTTTGGAACATTTCCTATTATATTAAACATTTGGTATCTTGAACTGTTTTCAAAAGGTTTTGAGTCTATTTGGAAGAAAGATTTTACAAAGTGAACATAGTGTTAAGGCTGCTGCTGGAAAGCATTCTTTTCAGTTTTGCAAAGACAGAGATAAACAACGAACTGTGAAGTATAAACAACAGAAAACATTTGAAAAACAACTTTTTCAAATGTACAAGGCAATATTTGATATGCATCGTTGATACTATTTTTCCTGTCTTTTGTAGGAAAATGTTTTGCAGGATCTGGTGACTTACGAAGACACATCCGAACACATACCGGGGAAAAGCCATATAACTGTGAGACCTGTAATAAATGCTTCAGTCGTTCAGCTGTCTTACGTCGACACAAAAAAGTCCATTGTAAAGATGATAATGAAAGTTCAAATGCTCTAGATGACCTTTCTCAAACAATGGAAATCTCAGACCCTGAGAAGTCGCAGAACTCAGACTCTTTTACACAAGAACTTTCAGTAACTTTGCTGCCAGCATCCGTGAAGTTTCCTGTCCAACCAAATGAAAATTCACCTAGTGAATTGGACAGTTTCTGCAAGATGCAGTCCTTAGTACAACACAATGATTGTACAAATCAACAGAAAATGAATTTGGATCCTGTGAAATACTGCAAATCTCAGCAAAGACCTAATCGGACATGCTCTTATAAGGAAACAAACCCATTAACTGAGGATGAACCTTTGCTCCATTCCTCTGTGAGTGGCAATTGTAGTGGTGAACTGAATAACCGTATGTCTCCTATTGAATGTAGAAATAACGAGGGCCCATTCTTCTCCAGTGTCACCCTCTGGGGTTTAGCCATGAAGACTTTACAGAACGAGAATGAATTGGGTCAATGAGAAGTAGTGCTAATGCTGTGTCAGTTTTGTACTTGACAAGAGATATTCCTACATGGCTATTACTATTACCTTTTATAATGATTACGATTAAATATTTATATATTGTAATACTTTAGAGCAGCAGCTCTCAAACTGTGTTCCACGCAACCCTAGAGTTCCGCAAAAGCATCATAGAAGTTCTACAAAAAATCTTAAGAGTCAAATCTAAAATGGATTTTAAAATAAAACCACATGAGGACAACTATTTGATTGTCTCTAATGTGAAGGAAAGGGGAGCACAGGTTATCTCCAAACACCTCTTCATCAAAGGACATCGTTTTGTCGCAGACCCACATCTCAGACCAGCATGACCTCTCCAGGGAAAGCACTTGGAAAGTTTTTCTAGCAACATCCAGAAAGTTCCTTGTCTTATAAATACTAGCACATCACCACTCCATTCAGTTCAGTTCACAGCAATTTCATGCTTGTGGTTATATTCAAAATATTTTCTCTTCCATTTCCAAACCGATTACCTTATATAAAACACTCAGGCAGCAGGAAATAGATGAAAGAAGGACGAACTCTTCTGGTTTACAATGCATAGTAAAAACCAGGAATAGAGTTAGGATTCCTTGCAAAAGAAGAGTTCCATGACCAAAAAAGCTTGGGAACTGCTACTTTATAGTAATAATAATAATAACTTTATTCTTGTATCCCACCACCATCTCCCCGAAGGGACTCAGGGTGGCTTACTCACGGCACAAGGTGTCTAAAAACAGGGTATAAAATAAAATAAAACACAATATAAAATACAATAGAGTAAAACACATAAGCATATAAAACAACAACTTAAGACTGAATAAAACTGTTGTTATCAACCAATGGTGGTAAGCTGCTGTAAACGTGGCCAGGCTGTAAACAAATAGGACAAGGGAATGGGATAAGCGCAGAGCTGTAATCATGGAAAGAGTATCCAAAGAATTTTACATATTCACTTTTTAATATTTGCTGATCTAAAATTGACTGATCTATCTTTTTGTCAGATAGAGGCAAAATTCAAGGTGGGAACTTCATGATTAAAGACAGATTTCAGAACTTCTTGATGTATCACTATGTTTCTTCCTCACTGTGGTAGTAGCAAATATCGCTAATTTGTGTTGCTGTTGCCACAAACAAACATTGTTCTCTGCTATGCAGAATTGTCTTACAGTTTACCTATTCCCATGCATTTCTGCATGGAGAATTACTTTGATTCCAGCTTCATATGATTCCCTTCACTTTTTGTTTTCCATCTAAAGAATGATAGAACACTCTTTCCTATTTCATTGCTTACAATAGTTGGTGGAAAATATTTCAGTTTTATTTCTTAAAACTAAAATTGACAAAGGGGATACTCTGAATGAAGCAAAAAACGGCTGTTACAGACATATTAATGAACTGTTATGGTAGTTAAAAATACCATATTACGAATAATTCAGTTGCTGTAAATTCCTCTTTATTTTCTGGAGAGCTTCAATCTCCAGAAGGCACTGATAGATTGACTGAGTTGGAACCAGTGCCTCTCCCTGTTTTCTCAATGCACAGCTGCTATTGACTTAGTTGCCTCATCTGGGCACTTGGTGCATCCCTGCTACTTGCCTAGAATGCCATTGCAATGCATGCACGTTTGCTTTGCTTTCTTTGTCTGACAATGGCTTGCAAGGGGACTGAGGGTACATCTAAAACAAGTGGTTCTCAACCTGTGGGCCCCCAGGTGTTTTGGCCTACAACTTCCAGAAATCCTGGCCAGTTTACCAGCTATTAGGATTTTTGGGAGCTGAAGGCCAAAACATCTGGGGACCCATAGGTTGAGAACCACTGATCTAGAACCTCCTTGGATTCCCCTTGCCTTGTTTAGCTTACAATGCAGTTGAGAATTTTCAAGAGGTGCCTCCATTTAAAGAGGTTGCAGCTACAACCTTGTTCTTGGGTGGACAGAGGACTGAGAGGGAGAAGTGCAGAGTCTAATGCGAAAGGGAGAAGGTGCAAAATCTAGTCCATTTTGCTTTTGCATCACTCTTGGAGAAGTCTCCCTTTGAGTCAGATCATATTTGTGTTTGATGTTCTTCCACATGCTCAAATCTAACGTGTCATTGAATCTAATTCTCACCCTGTTTTTCACAATGTAATTTGGCCAAAAAAGCCTACACTTACTTAGGCGATCCTTCGCTGTCCGAGTATGATAGCCTTCCAAGTGTTGTGTCTTAGTGGTGGATACGTAGGTGACTGTGAAGCCCAGTTCTTGACCTGCATGTTCTTCCACAGTGAGGACATCGGTTTCCAGGCGGAAGGCGGTCCCTGCGAGGGTTGGCTTGACGTGCCTTTCTCTTGGCGCATTTCTCCCTTTCTCCCTCCATTCGTGCGTCTTCAAAGTCCACAGCACTGTTGGTCACAGCTGACCTCCAGTTAGAGCTCTCAAGAGCCAGGGCTTCCCAGTTCTCAGTGTCTATGCCACAGTTGTTAAGGTTAGCTTTAAGCCCATCTAACTTATAAAGCTACACTGCCCTGGGAACTTGTGGGACCCTTCTCTCAGATAATCAATTATAGTACCTTCCTACCTACATTAGAGTATATGTGCTCTTATTTATCCCTAGTTATTTAAGACCACTTTTTTTTAGATCAGAAAGGTCCCTCTTCCCAGAAGAGGCTTTTAGCCAAGTCCAGGAGATATGGGGCTTAATGTATTTTGAATTACATTTATGAGAACAGAAATTCATTTTTCTTTCATGATTGGAAATTTACAAAGGTGAGCAATGACTGCAGCCAAAAGGGAGGACGTTTAATCAAGAGATGAAAAATTAATGTCAAAACATGTTCCTCTGAATTCCCAGGCAGAATGATATCTATGTTGAATACTGGATAAATGTGTCAGTCGTCCACATTACCTGCATTGAACTGGTTTATATCTGCCATAAAATCCAGTTCAAAGCAGATAATCTGGATTTGACATGGCAGTGTAGAATGGGCCTGAGTTGCACCTGGAAAAGGTTCAGTAATAGTGTTATATTGCGGAAATTGTATGTGTCCTATAACTGGCCCTAGACAAAATGTAGTACCTTTCATTTTTTTTAAAAAGTATATTAACTGGGTTGTTGTAGGTTTTTTCAGGCTATATGGCCATGTTCTAGAGGCATTCTCTCCTGACGTTTCGCCTGCATCTATGGAAAGCATCCTCAGAGGTAATGACCTCACTACCTCTAAGGATGCTTGCCATAGATGCAGGTGAAACATCAGGAGAGAATGCCTCCAGAACATGGCCATATAGCCCGAAAAAACCTACAACAACCCAGTGATTCCGGCCATGAAAGCCTTCGACAATACATTGAAGTATATTAATTTTTCTAGAAAATGCATTAATTAGAATAACAATAGCAAGAAAACAACAAATCACATTCTGGGAGTCATCAGATCTCAAGAGCATTCCTTGAATCAATCGGGTGGTTCATTCAAATGGTAGTTTAACTCATCAGGGAAGTTGCATTGCTCAAAAAGCACTCAGCCAAAACCTGGCCATATGCATTCCTTTCCCAATATGTCCACCCCCCAGAGTGGGCATACACAGCAGATGGCAAACAGCTTCAAGTTCAACCAAAGACAGTTTGTTGAAATTTGCACCAGACCTCTCTGCCAATCAGTATCCAAAGTAAACGGACCTTTAATCAGAAATGGATGGTCCTTTCAACCAATGGGACTGCGGATCCTGAAACCAAACCAGTTTTTCATCACTCCCAATGTCTGTAAATTCTTATGAAATGTCTGTACCGGAAGTGCTAGGGTTTATCAGATCAGGGATCACTTGCCCAATATCTGTTTTGGTCATCAGCGAATAAAAATCTCTGTTCCTTGGAAACATTGGAACCAGGCACCCTGGGAATCCAAACTCTGCAACTGTGGTCACATTTTGCCCTCACAGCGTACAACTCGCTTGCTTCTTACACTCTGTTACTCATACTGCTAGCTCTCCTGCTCCTTCCCTTGCCTGCAGTGCATCCCGTGCTTGCTTTTTGCACACTGCCTGCTCACTCTCAATTTGCTCATGTGGGAATGTCTGTGGATGACTCATTTGTTTGACTGATCAATGCCTCTGACCTATATCCCATATCTCGTCTTATACAAAGCTAAAGGAAATAAGGTTTATAATATGGCCCAAGTGGACACTGCTAGAATTTTGGTAAAACCCAATGTTCCAGGTGATATAGCAACCTTAGTTCTATTTCTCATCTCTGGGGGGCAGTTGGTTGGTTGAAAGTGTTAATGCCTATTGATACATATGGAATGTTCTGCTTCAGACGACTCACCCTTTCACACTACAGACTGCTTCTTAAACTGTGGGTCCTGGTCTCAAAAAGGGTCTTTATTTAGCAAGCCTTGCAAATGCTGGTTTGTTATCAATAAATGTTTGATTTTTATACAATAGAGCAGGGTAGGGAACCTTTGGCCCTCCAGCTGTGGTGGACTTCAACTCCCACAATTCCTTGAGGCTCGGCATTCGCCCCAAAGGCTTACCTTGGCCCAATGCCGAGCCTCAAGGAATTGTGGGAGTTGAAGTCCACCACAGCTGGAGGGCCAAAGGTTCCCTACCTGAATAGAGTCTCGCTTATCCAACATAAACAGGCCGGCAGAACGTTGGATAAGCAAAAATGTTGGATAATAAGAAGGGATTAAGGAAAATCCTATTAAACATCAAATTACGTTATGACTTTACAAATTAAGCACCAAAACATCATGTTTTACAATTTATTTTATTTCATATCAAAAGCATTGCATAAATTAGCATAAAACTGATAAAAATAGAAGGAGCATAGGTGGCTAAATATCTTTTGACCAAAACGGGCAACAGCAATGGCATTGTCTGTAGCCTCCAACAATTCTTCCTCTGTACATGAGGCAGGGCATAGTGGACAAGCATACAGATGCAGAGTTGTCTGTTCTGCTCCACAGTCACACAAGGTGTGGGATTCTTTTAGGTAGTGCCATTTTGCCAGGTTGTCTTTTGATCTGCCCACTCCACTTCTGAGTCTGTTCAGGGACTTCCAAGTTGCCCATTCTTGGTTTGCCCCTGGAGGAAGACCCTCATGGGGGGGATCCAATTGGGAT